GGTTTGTAATTAAAACAGTATCATAGGTGCCCCTCCCCGCCCCCACCCCCTTCAGAGCACAGAATATTAACTAAGGTGGACATTTCCTCTGTTGATGTTCCCTCTGGGAAACAAAAGATAGAAATAGTGAGAAAGGCCTTTCCAGATAATACCCCACACCAAAGTATTGAAAGAAAAGGTTCATATAACATGACATGGTAATGTCATGTAACATATGAATATTATTACCTAAGGATTATATTATATCCAGCTGATAAGTTGTATTTGTATGTTTAAGTGTGTATTTGAAAAAGTACGTAGTCTTTCAATTATTGAGTTTGTAAATCCTTAACTGAGTGTCTGGGAAAAAACTGTGCTAGGCATTGTGAGAAGGACAAAGGTTTACACAAGAGGGTTTTTTTTTTTCCCCCTAGCCTTCAAGATATGTCAGCGCAAAGGGGGAGTAGCTTCACTGAAGTGAAGATTAAGATGGGGCTAGGTGTTGTCAGGGCTGAAGCTCGAGAGTCTAGATGCCTTTTAGGTTCTGTTACTACTGTACCTTCTGACCGCTGTGAATCAGGCAGGTTCTTGGGGAGCCTCAGCTGGTTTGCTCTTTGCACAGTTCAGCTGTGATTAGCATCCTTCTAGTTGGTAGGAGACATTGTCCAGGAAACTATCTAGCCCGTGGGGGAGGTGGCATCTTCTGAACCAGCACCCCCCCCCCCCCCCCCCCCCCCGGCAGAGAACTTTGAACGGGTGGAAGAAGGAGTTCGTGTGCATTCTTGCTCATGTCACAATGTTGGGCCTGTGACTCAAGCATGTGGCAGGTCACTGTGATTGGACCATTGGATCACCAGGCCCTGACTTTAGAGTGGCCAATGCTGCTTTTTCAACTCTTAACTGCCACATGGGTACGACATAAGATATATCAATAAAAGACATAAAATTATTTTAAAAATACTGTTTATTGGGACATCTTGAAGGACTGGGGTCAAGGAAGTGCTTGTTTCCTTACCATCTCCTATCTGGCACATGTTGATAATTATTCGTCACTCATTCAGCATTTACTGAAAGCTTACCAAATGGCAGACAGCGTGCAAGGTGTTGGAGGGGGCAGCTGGGCATGAACAAAGGAACAGAAGCTCTCTCTTCCCTCCATGACAGCTAACAGTGGACACTCCTACAGTGTTTACCACATGCCAGGCTTGTTCTGAGTGCTGCATAGCTCCGCACCTAACCCTTAGAACAGCCCCATCCGTTAGTACCAGTACTGTCCCCATTAGACACCGGACAACCCTGGCCTGCAGAGAGATGCACCAGCTTGCCAAAGATCTCACAACTGGAATGCGGCGGAGCAGAATTTGAAAGCAGACCGTCTGGCTCTGGAAACTGTGCTTTTAACCTCCATGCCAAATAGCTGCTCAAGGAACTTATGGTCTGAGTATACATGGGTAAGTACATCTGTTTTCAGGGTGAGGCAGCGAAAAACGGTGTAGAGGGAAGACAAGAAGGGACTCAGGTTGAGTGTGTTTGCCTAAACGGACACCAAGAGTGTCTGACTCAAGAAATGCTCCGTTCCATGCCCCAAGGCGAAGAATGGAATGACAGGACATTATTAAGCACGGTGAAAAGTTGGAAATATTTGCCAGCAATGGCAGTGCAGTTTAATTTTATGTCCAGGGCTACGAAGGGCTACAACCCTGCTTTCACACACACACACTGTGAGGGTCAGTGAATACAGTCAGTCCAGTGACATCATTTTCTCCACTTTCTCCGCTTTGCTAAGGGGCAAAGGTGCGAAGTCCGCTTCCCTGTGGTGGTTTGCACCTGTGGGGCGTGTCTAGGAAACTGATGGCATGGTCTTCTGGGAGAGTACTTGCAGCATACTGGGAACCTTCTGGAGCAAATTGCTGAAGGTGGAAGGCTGCAGAAATGATCGTCAAGCCTCAGATGTCACAAGAGAGGGATGACTTTTCAGTCAATGCTTGGGGTAGAGAGGAGGGTAGGGTCAAGTTGTGAGAAATACAGGAGATGTATTTGTGTAGATCACTTAACAGTGTATGTTATCGATAAATATTCCTTATCATTTATATAGTATATAATATGTAAGTACTCACCCCAGGCTGTCCTTATAAAAGCATGTTTGCAGAGACCTAAGAGAGAAAATGTAAACATGCCAGAGGTCTTCGCAAGACCTTATATATGCTGTTTAATGACCTTGTATAGTTCTAAATGTTATCAACAAATGTTAGTAATAATAAATGGTGGTGGATAGTGTCATTATTGCTCTTATCCCCATTTTTTGTTGTCACTAATTTTATATTGTGGTCAGTTGGAAAATAGGATTTACTTTTGGAACTATTCAGGGGCACCTGGGTGGCTCAGTTGGTTACGAGACTGCCTTCGGCTCAGGTCATGATCCTGGAGCCCCAGGAATGAGTCCCTCATCAGGCTTCCTCCTCGGCAGGGAGTCTGCTTCTCCCTCTGACCCTCCCCCCTCTCATGTGCTCTCTCTCTCTCTCATTCGCTCTCAAATAAATAAATCTTTAAAAAAAGAGAAACTATTCAAATATTTAAGTAGATTTTTCTAAACAGAAAGAGAGGAATGAAATTCGGCAAGGAACTTAGTTGTTATTAGTGGGCATTATGGATTTTGCATTCCCACAGAAACAAACTCGTGAACTAGGATTTTATTATCCTAGAATGAATTTCTTGCCAGGAGTCACTTTCTGCTTATCTCACCATTTGATATTTGCAAGATCACTAATAATTCCTCTGTCCACCCCACATCCCTTACTTCTTCCCAGGCAAGTAGAGAGATTTCAGAAAGACGATGAGGAAATTCTTTTCCTTCTAATTTGTTCTTTGGCCCTTTTAATCCCCCTCCCTCCACTGCCGGCAGGGCGTTAGTCATTAAAATGCGTCAGACAACTGTGATGCCTTCAGGATCATAACCGTGATACAATCACGTTACACACCCATTCAAAGTTCTCTGCTCCAGGGTCAAGCCTATGGAGCTCCTGCCTCCTCAACTGGTGTTTCTGTTGTGAGAAGGTTAGGAAAGGAGAGAGAGATGAACTCCCTGTAATTCTGAGGCTCACATTTCACTAGAGTCTGGTAAATCTCGAGATACTTCCCTGTTGATAAATTTATTTAATTTATTCCTATTAACCTGGCATATCATAGTCCGTTGCATGAAAATACCACATTTTATTCAGCCATATTGATGGACATTTAGGTTCTAACTTCTCGCTATTTCAAATAATATTGCTATAACATCCCTATGTAAGTGTTTGTATGACGTCTATGAAAGTTTCTGTAGAGTAGGGGTCTTCAAACACTTTATCCCACAATTTGGAAAAACTTTTCCTCCTTACACATTTTAGAATTGGAATCAAACTTTTTATCATAACTTTTAGTTGCAAAGGAATTAATTTCCTTGTAATGGAAACATTAACATTTAAAAGTAGAATTCTTTGGGCACCTGGGTGGCTCAGTCAGTTAAGCATCCGACTCTTGGTTTTGGTTCCAGTCGTGATCTCAGGGTCTTGGGATCGAGCCCCGCGTCTGGCTCTGGGCTCAGCAGGGAATCTGCTTGATACTTTCTCTCCCTGTCCCCCTGCCCTGGTCCCCAGCTCTGGCTCTCTCTCTCAAATAAATAAATAAATCTTTAAAAAAATAAAAGTGGAATTCTTAAATGTATCCAATGGTGTATAAATACCATAGTGATCTGATACTCACCGTTATCCATCACATATTAACGATATGAACAAGGTCTCCTATAGTGGGAAATTCTACGTCACTTCTTTTTCTTTTGGGACTTGAACTTTCTACTTGTCACAGGCTTTTATTTGAATGTAACATACATTATATGTCTTATGTGTGAGTGTTTTTTATTGATCACGTTACCATATTTCTCTATAACAAATTTTATATATAAACTTAAATTACATTAAATTTCTTTGATCACAATACTCCAAAGTGTTAACAGTTTTTCTGAATTGAGTTATCATTATTTTTAGTTCATAATTGACCAATTAAATGCTTTTAAATGTTGATCACATTGAAACATAAAAAATATCAATGGAACTTTAAGAAATCGGTTTGTATATCATGAACGAATTTTACTTATTTCTAGGAGATGGGTTCAGCATCAGTTTATGCCCAGTTTTTGCTTTTATATTATAAACCCCGAGGACTATCATTCACGTACATGAATAAGTAGGTGACGGTTGGAATAAATTGAGTAAGTGATGTTACTCATTTATTTGAAAGCTTTCCACATTGTATGCCCCACATCACCTAGTGGTGTTATTTTTAATGATTTATCAGTGGGCAGTTTGCTTAGGTCTTCCTTCAGTTCACTAGGAAACAAGAAATGTTAAACTAATGTTCAAAGTGTGAGTTATTCAGTAGACTCACTCAGATTCTCAATGTTGATATTATTTCGGGTTGTCTCTTTAGTTTCTTGTAGGTTTTTACCCTTTGGGGCAACATATCCTTGAGCATTCAGATAGAGAAGACGGGTGTGCCTTTCTCTTCTCAAGAGGGAGAAAGGGCCACTATGAATGGGAGGTAGGGATTAGGAACCACGGGGGTGCTTGACTCCATGGGTTCTCAGATAGTTCGGACATGGAAGATAAAGATCTGGAATTATCCCCTTGAAAACGATCTGTGTGCCTCCGTTCTCCAGTTTGAAACTCCTACCCTGAGGTTTATCCCCAGCAGCAGAATAGCTATTGTTAGAGTCTCCTACGCTATGTGACCCATTTCCCCAAACCCACGTCGCTGAGGACATTGCTCTGCTTCTCAAGGACTCGGGAGAGGTTCCCTCTGAGAATCCCCATATATGATTCATAGGAGTTTTCTAACTTTGGGAAAAGCCCATGATCCCTGTATTTAAATGACTGGTGGCCAGTGAGTGGTAATCCACCAGAGTTCTAGGAAACATTTGATTTCTATAATTTGCTTTGGGACAACCTCTGAAAGTATTTTCATTCGCAACTTTCTTTCTTTTAAAGGGCATCCTGAGTCTCCATCAACCAAGGTGGTACAAAAACAGCACTCTACTTGGTTTGTGTTCTGTGCCCTGAAGCAGAAATGCGTTTAATTGTACATTGCAAAATAAACAGATATCTAGAGGAGAAGGTTATTAAAAATATTTTGCGCAGTTTGGAAGAACAAACTAGAGGTCAGGATTGCTTGACCTAGCGTCTCCAAGCAAACCCCAGTCAAGTAAGCTGCCAAGGTAAGTGAGCTACTAACATATAGCTTATTCTTTGGGCAAAACTTTCTGGTTTGCAAATTTCTGGATATAGTTAAAAGGGACAATACATTTCAAAAATAGAGTAACGGTCCTCCTCAGGCAGGTGAATTCTACTTTAAAAACAGATTTAATGTGCCAAATTCAAATCATAAAAAGCTTGCCCAGTTATAGGACAAATACCTCAACATTGTAAAATAAACAGGACTTGAAATGCAGACAATCCTATTTTACAGTTACAAGTTATTTTAAAAATATAAACACCGAATAATGGAGCAATAAAATATATTACAGTTAGCAACTCTGTAAGGACACATTAATAATGAGGTAGATCTTCATTAAGGCCTCCCTTCCACTCGCTTCAACAGGTGACCTAGGAAGAGGGTGGCCCTATGAGCTCTAGCAGCCAATGGCCTGGGACCGCACCCTGGGAGGCAGCCAAGACAAAGGTACTATGTCCAGGAAAGACATTTCAGATAAGACTTAAGTTTTAGAGCTAAGAAAATAAGGGTTTGTTTGTTTGTTTGTTTTCTCCTTAGAAAAATAGACCGTTTCTATCTACTAACTTCCTGCCTCCTCCCAAGTTCCCCAGCTTCATAAAATTTATGTTAAGGATTTGAAATATTCCCAGATTAGTTGTTAAGTATCATGACCTTCTGTTTACAGCTCTCCTTTTCCTCTTGGGTTTCCTGAAATGTAAAACCTGTACATATATGTATATTTTTAAAGATTTTATTTATTTGATAGAGAGAGAGAGCACAAACAGGGGAGAGGGGCACAGGGAGAGGGAGAAGCAGACTCCCTGCTGAGCAGGGAGCCCGATGTGGGGCTGGATCCCAGGACCCTGAGACTATGACCTGAGCCGAAGGCAGACGCTTAACCCACTGAGCCACCCAGGCGCCCAAACCTGTATATCTTTTAAGAAACGCTCAGCGGGGAGTCTCGTTCTCCTTCTGACCCTCTCTCCTCTCGTGCTCTCTCTCACTCTCTCTCTTAAATAAATAAAAATCTTAAAAAAAAGAGAAAGAAATGCAACATACTTAAGTACAACGAATTAGCAAAAATCCACCAAAGAAAACTGTTTACCTATTGTATTTAGAAAAGATAAAATTTCCCTCAGCTAGATCTGACAACATTACGTTTTTCTATGGTATTCTTTCTGAGGTTGCTATAAGATAGAAAAACCTAAATTGCAATGAGAGTACCTTTTGAACTTACTAATTCTAAGACGTCGTTAACAAGAAGGCTCTGATGGGTAGGATCTAGAAGTGCTTTATTTTGTCATTAAGTGGAACCATGGAAATTAAAGTGCCCCCCCTCCACTGGGCCCCACTAGGTTAAGTTTAAAATATTAAATGTAAATTAAGGATACCATGTTCATGTGGTTGAAAAATCAAAAGGCACAGAGCAATACCATAACATACAATGGGAGGTATGGGCCTTGGAGCCATGTAACTGGGCAGTGCTGTAAATGTCACCTTCCCACCTGTCTCCTAGCCATATCGGTATCTTAATAAGGAGAATTTTTTTTTTTTTTTTGGGGAGGGAGGGGGTGGGTGGGGTGGGGGGGGGGGGGGGGGGGTGGGGGTTGCAGAGGGAGAGAGAGAATCTTAAGCAGGCTCCATACCCATCTCACAACCCTGAGATCATGACCTGAGCCAAGATCAAGAGTTGGACGCTCAACCGACTGAGCCCCCCAGGTGCCCCAATAAGGAGAATCTTGAAATGTAGAGGTGAGTAGGAGGTTTCTTGTGAGGGCGAACTTCCTGGTTCAGAGATGGCTGTCTTCCACAGGTGACCTCACCTGGCGTGGTGGAAGGGGGCGGGAGCTCTGACAGGCCTCTTTCCCATAAATCGCAATGAGAGTAACTTTTGAACTTACTAGTTCAGATTCGTAAGGGCACCAGTCCCATTCGTAATGGCTCCACGCTCACGACCCAATCACCTCCCAAAGGCCCACCTCCTAATACCATTACCAGGGGGTGAGTTTCAACCTAAGATTTCGGGGCGGCGGGGGACACACACATTCAGTCTGTGGCAGCGTGGAAAAACCAAGGCTGTACACAGAGGATCAGCACCTTTTCCAGTCCTCTCTTGCAATTGTCCTTTCAGTGTATGTGTATTTGTATAAGAATAGAAGAGGAAGGGGCGCCTGGCTGGCTCAGTCAGTGGAGCATGCGACTCTTGATCTCAGGGTTGTGGGTATGAGCACCATATTGGGTGTAGAGATTGCTTAAAAAAATAAAATCTTGGGGTGCCTGGGTGGCAGGGTGGGTTAAGCGTCTGACTCTTGTTGGTTTCTGCTCAGGTCATGATCTCATGGGTCATGAGATCGAGCCCCACGTCAGCTCTGCGCTCAGTGCAGAGTCTGCTTGAGATTCTCCCTCTCCCTCTTGCCCCTCCCCCAGCTTGCTCTCTCTCTCTCTCTCAAATAAAATCTTTTAAAAATAAAATAAAATCTTTTTTAAAAAAGATTTAATTTATTTGAGAGAGAGAGAGAAAGCAAGCATGAGAGGGGGGAGGGTCAGAGGGAGAAGCAGACTCCCCCCTTAGCAGGTAGCCTGAAGCAGGACTCGATCCCGGGACTCCAGGATCATGACCTGAGCCGAAGGCAGTCGCTTAACCAACTGAGCCACCCAGGCACCCAATAAAATAAAATCTTTAAGAGAAAAGAATAGAAGAGGAAGAAATGGGAAGAGTAAAGGGGGAAAAAAAGACCTTTATCTCGGGAAGTATATTAGTGAGCCACTGGGAATTCTTAACCACATGAACATGTCACTCAAATAAACTTTTCTGTATTGCTCTTTCCCCTCCATTCCCTTTTATCTAGTCTCAGCCAAGTATATTTTATTATTTTGAGGTTTAGGTTTTAGGGGAGAGTTCAGAACTAATAGGCGACAATATTCGTGGAAGAGAGGCAAGCAGGGATGCAGCCTCTCCTACCCTCATACCAGGAACAAACTAACCCTTCTCTGGGGCAAACTGGCCTGGTGAAGTCCAAAGTTCAGCTTTCTCTCTGCGATGACCTGTTCAGACTTCAAAGAGACCCGTTGGGTGGTGTTGCGTCCTTCTGGACATGCCCCGTTGACTATGCTGTGCACCATTTACACCGTCTCTGGCTCGTCAGCAGGTGGCAGTGTTCCCTCTATTCCCAACGGCGTTCGGCATTCCCTTCCCTTTTTTTTTTTCAGGCCACATATAAGGGCTGCCTCTTGAGTATTCCCAAGTATTTCCTTGGGAAATACTCTCCCAATGATCTACTAGCACTGAGGAGGAGAAGCAAATTAGCAACGCATAGCATAAGTGTTTTCACATTTGATCTTTAGAACCCTAATCCCCTGGTCTAATGAATTGTCCAACTTCAGGGCAAGAGGGTGAGCATCAGTAATTGTATTGCTTACTTATCCCTGTCTTCCCCTATTCTAGACCCTATTTAGGGGCCTCAGGCCGTCTTCTTGTTCCCTTCATTCCCCTCTGTTCAAGGCTTGAAAACAGTATTAAAAGCTATCTGTAGCCAAATTTCTCTCTAATTAACTTGTTTGGGTTTTTATCAAAATGAGGTTTTCTTCCCATCTTTATTCACAGATGGAATAGCGGGAATTTTCCCAGGCTGCAATGCAGGGTCCCTCACCGAGTAGCTCCGTAATCTGGTCGTATAAACCCTTGGGGCTTCAGTTCATGTGTAAAATGGGATTGGTGAACTAAGGGACTTTTGAGGTTTCTCCTAACTCTTATACTCCTGGATCCGGAAGTAGTCTGCCCCTGCCTTGAATAGTGGTTGTACTGTGATACCAGATGAGTGTTTCTTATGTTTTCTTTGGGCAGCAAGTTATTCAATAGCACAAAGAGAGTAGATTTAGGGGAGGCAGTTGATCTTGGGAGAGAGGGTACTCAGGGTAAGGTGCAACACATGAGCTACACTAGATGCCATTTATGACAGATATTCTCAAGTATTTCTGTGGCAGTGGACCCCAAACAGGCATTCAGTCTTAAATGCTAGAACTCCCTTAGTATGCTCATTTATTTAAAAATGAAATCAGGGTTGAGCTCTCTCCCTGGTTTGTTTGATATTTTTCTGATAATGGGCATTCGTTGATTTTTAGACTTAATTCTATTGGGCAAGGTCACTTTTTTACCTTATGAAAACACTAAAGAATCATTGTAAAGAACCTTCAACCCATACAGAAAGAAAGATATGGAAAGAGAAATTCTCCTCCCTCTGAAGCCCTCCCTCCCCATCTTGTAGTCAGAGATAAGCAGTGTTATCTTCTCTCTTGTTTATTCTCTTGGATATTTTCCATGGATTTATGCAAACACAGATATATGTATTATCCCTTCTGTTTTATTTCACTGAATTTTGATGGATAATTTTGTGGCATGCATTAATCCTGGAGTAGAAATATGCATGTAACATGGATGAGAGAGCCAGTGAAGAAATTATAGGATTAGGGAACAAGATAGATAACAAACAGAAAATAGTTGCTAATCAAATTGTCAACTGATAGCAGTGATTCTTTCTTTTTTTTTTTTTTTTAAAGATTTATTTATTTGAGAGAGAGAGCACAAGTGGGGAAAGGGACAGAATCCCAAGCAGACTCCCCAATGAGCATGGAGCCCAACTCAGGGCTGGGTCTCAAGACCCTGAGATCACAGCCTGAGCCGAAATCAAGAGTCAGATGCTTAACAGACTAAGCCACCCAGGTGCCCTGATAGCAATGATTCTTAAATGAATGGGGGGAAATCAGAGGGGGAGATGAACCATGAAAGACTATGGGCTCCAGGAATCAAACTGAGGGTTCTAGAGGGGAGGGGGGTGGGGGGATGGGTTAGCCTGGTGATGGGTATTAAAGAGGGCACGTATTGTATGGAGCACTGGGTGTTATGCACAAACAATGAATCATGGAACACTACGTCAAAAACTAATGATGTAATGTATGGTGATTAACATAACATAATAAAATTATTAAAAAAATGATAGAGGGGCACCTCGGTGGCGCAGTCGTTAAGCATCTGCCTTCAGCTCAGCTCATGATCCAGCCCCGCATCGGGCTCCGTGCTCCGCGGGAAGCCCCGCGTTGGGCTCCCTGCTCCGCGGGAAGCGTGCTTCTCCCTCTCCCACTCCCCCTGCTTGTGTTCCCTCTCTCACTGTGTCTCTTTCTGTCAAATAAATAAATAAAATCTTAAAAAAAAATGATAGAGCTTCCAGGAAGAACTGACCATGGAAGATTGTTTTGAGAAGACATTTCTAAGGGAGTGGGCTGGGGTCATGGTAGGAGAGGACCACCAGTGGTTCCTCCGTTTTTCTCCATGCTTACTACTGAGAGGTAGAGTCTCTTTCTTGTCCCGGGAATCTTGACAGCCTCCGTTACTTGCTTTGGTCAATAGAACGAGTCAAAAATGATGCTGTTCCAGTTTTGGGCCTAGACCTGGCAACTTTAGTTTTTGCTCTCTTGGACGATAATCACCACGTAAAGAACACTGACAGCTGTGCTGAAGAGGAAGGCCTCATGGAGGCAGCGTGTTTCTGGAGGATGAGACCTTCTGGAGGGAGACAGGCCCAGCCTCTCGCTATTTCAGCCACTCCAGCTGAACCACTAGCCCTGTGCTCGAAGTCGTCTCGGGTCCCCCAGCCCCCGTCAAGCTGCCGCAGCCAACAAACACGAAGGAAAGATAAGCTGTCACCACTGTGTTCTGTCCATAGTGCAGAATGTGAGCAAGAAAATGGTCCATGCTGTTTCAAGCTGCCACACTTTGGGGTAGTGTGTTATGCATAATAAATAATGGAAATCGATGTCTGGGAGTTGGATGTTGGCTTAAAAAAATCTAAGACACGTGGCACCGGCTTTGGGAGCAGGCATTGGGTAGAGGTTGGAGAGGTGAAGAAGAAACTCTCTTTTTTTTTAATTGACTATTTTTTTTTAAATTTCTATTTTGAAACAATTTTAGACTTACACAAAAGTTGCAAAACTGGCACAGAGTTCATGCATGTTCTTCACCCAGCTGCCCGAATAGTGATAAATTGCATAGCCAGAGAATAATGATCAAAACCAGGAAATTGACATAAACCACAGACCGTGTAGGAACTTTGCCAGTTTTTCTGGTAATGTTCTTTTCCCGTTTCAGAATCCAATCCAGGATCCTGCGTTTGCATTTAGTTGATGTATCTCCTTGGTCTGGGAAGGAGACTCTTAGTGGAGGCTCTGAGGGTCGTGAGAAAATTGTATTGCAGGCTGGAGAAGTGGTGCTGTGTAGTCGCAAAATGTTTGGCATCCCTTGTGAGCAGTAAAACACAGAAGACAGAAAATGTACCTAATGAACTTGTAGATCTGGCAAAGGGGAGTTTCAAGCTGCACGTTCAGAATATCAGTTGGCTTCTTGTAGTGAGGTGTGATGGTGTTACTAGAGAGAGAGAGAGAGAGATGTGTTAAAAAAGGAACTGTTCCGTTTTCAAGCAGAATGTAGAGGAAATAGGGCCTTGGAGATTCTGTGTTGTCAGCAATAGTCTCAAAGGAAGAAATGGCCTCAGGGGCCTGCCTTTCGAATGTGGCCTTGAGGTAGAAATCCAATCAAGACTATGTTGAAGCCTCTACATGTTAAGATGTTGTTTCATAGATCCTCTCATCTAGCCAAAAGGGCTCCTAAGAAGACTCTTCAGGGGATTCCAACAGCATCTCCTTTGACAAGGCCCAAAGTAGACAGAAGTTTGTTCTTGGAAGAATTATAGATGTTGCTTTGTGGGCAGAGTTGTCGAAGGCAAGAAGTAAACTCTGTTAAGACTCATAGGAAATCCACAAAATGTTGAAGACAACTGTATTGATGAAACCACTGCTAGCCTGAACTAAAGGGGAAAGAGAGAGTTCAAAATGTAAACAAACAAACAAAAAAAAACCATCGGGCCCCCAGCTTTCTGTGGACAGGACCCAGGCTGAGAGAGCTATTGGACCATAAAGGGCAGTCAGTGGCTTATGGAAAAGGAAGCCTCAAAAGCCATAGCCTGCATCCCGGAGTAGGGAGCCAGGAACAGTGGTTTGGGAAGCAGCTCCCGGGGAGAAGAACCAGCCTCTAATGGCGGGGCGGTCTGGGTTCCCAGAGTGAGGGTGACAGTGCTCAGCTGGCTTTCAGAACTGCTAGGGCTGGTGGCTGCTCTGTGCCTTCTGTCTCCCCCGCTTTGAACACAAGTGTCTGTTTTACTTAACTTATCCCTGTCTCAGCGTCGTATGTTGTGTCTATACCTCGTCTTTTCAGCTCACAGGTCTCCAGAGGAAGAGGAGCAGCATCGAAAATGCCTCCGCCACGCCTACTGTCTACCATTAGATCCTGGCCCTTAGAGCCAGTGCTACACAGAATGACAATTTGGGGGGAGGGAGTGTATTCTGCAAGTCTGTGTGTGTGGGTGTGTGGGTGTGAATTGTTGTGGCCAAAGGGTGGCTTATGATAGAGTGTTTCCCCATATGACTGCCGACAGCTCCTCTCATTCCAGACACTCCTTCCATTAGGGAGTGTGGTCTCTTTCCTGTCCCCTTGGGTCTGGGCTGGCCCTGTGACTGCCTTTGGCCAGGAGAATACAGGGAAAGTGATGTTCTGGGACTTCCAAGCCCTGGCTTTCACTAGCCTTGTAGCTTCCACTTTCTCTTTCTTGGGATCCAGGCTGTAAAGAAAGTATAAAGCAGCCCGGGCTGGCCCACGGAATGATGAGCGATCATGCTGCCCGCCATCTTGGCTGTTCCAGCCCCAGCCAAACTCACAGCTAGAGGTGACCACACGTCTGACCCCAGCTGTGTCATGGGAAGGCAGAAGAGCTGCCCAGCTGTGCGCGTCCTAAATTGCAGAAGCGTGAGCGAAGAAGGGGTGGTGGTCCTCTTCAGGCACAGAGCTTACGGTGGTTTGGTAGGCAGCAGTAGGTCGTTGAAGCCATTACCAAATGTCAGCGTTCTTTCGACTGCTCTAACTTCACTCCAGGGGCTGAGAAGAGATTGTAACAGCATCAGATAAAGAAGCCAAGTTTCAAGGAGACTCAGTTCCATAAAGGCTAGACCCCATAGGCCACAGTCACCGCTCTGCCTGCAGAGCTTTGCACAGAACGAGCACGTGATATACGCCCAGATACATGTTGATTGGACAATTGAATGAATGAGTGGAGATAAAAGATGCCACACCATGAAAAAGACGGAAAAGATACTCTAAACGGAGTTTGTCTCATTCCCTTTTTTCTTTCAAAAAGGTGCTCTTCGTTTTCAGAAACAGTGATGCCTCGGAAGCCAGGAGGATGTTCTGAAGGGAGAGATGTGTAGGAGTGAGGCACAGGACAGCCTTGACTCTCCATGCCCCTCTTACACTTAGACAAAAGAGGGCCGCTCCGGGAAGCACCTGGCAAATGCCCCAACACCTGCTGGTAGATAAAAATTATCTTTTTCTATTCTTGGAAGAGCTAAAAGCAGAATATGTGTTCCATAGGACTATAGTTAGAGTTAATACCAAGAGGACCAGAGTAGAATAACCAATAGTCAGTGTTAGGCTGGAGAGTAGAACAGTCAGTGCTGATTTGTCATGTTAGGTCTTCTCTTTCCCATCACTCTCTGGTCCAAGTCACAATTTTTGAATGCAACTTGGACCCAGCATGCCTATTCTACTCTGTGGTTCTCCCAGGAACACCTGGCCCCATCCTCATTTCTCTGAGAGAGATAATTTCATATAGCACACCTCTCTACTGGGACGTGAAAGGAGACCCAAGTGCCGTGTGCAGTAGCTCCAGGAGAGCTTAGAGACAAGAAGGGAAAGTTCTTTTTTAGGGTATGGTTACTTGCAGTGCCTTCTGGAGAAGTACCTTCTGGAGACATGTCTTGGGCAAAACATCTTTATTTAAAAGAATAGCAATATTACTACTGAGTATTTACCCCAAAGATACAAATGTAGGAATCCGAAGGGGTACATGCACCCCGATGTTCATAGCAGCAATGTCCACAATAGCCAAACTGTGGAAAGAACCAAGATGTCCATCGACAGATGAATGGATAAAGAAGAGGTGGTATATAGACACAATGGAATATTATGCAGCCATCAAAAGGAATGAGATCTTGCCATTTGCAACGACGTGGATGGAACTGGAGGGTGTTATGCTGAGTGAAATAAGTCAATCAGAGAAAGACATGTATCATATGACCTCACTGATATGAGGAATTCTTAATCTCAGGAAACAAACTGAGGGTTGCTGGAGTGGTGGGGGTGTGGGAGGGATGGGGTGGCTGGGTGATAGACATTGGGGAGGGTATGTGCTATGGTGAGCGCTGTGAATTGTGCAAGACTGTTGAATCACAGATCTGTACTTCTGAAACAAATAACGCAACATATGTTAAGAAAAAAGAACAAGAAGAAGATAGCAGGAGGGGAAGAATGAGGGTGAGTAAGTCGGAGGGGGAGAAGAACCATGAGAGACGATGGACCCTGAGAAGCAAACTGAGGGTTCTAGAGGGGAGGGGATGGGGGGATGGGTTAGCCTGGTGATGGGTATTAAAGAGGGCACATTCTGCGTGGAGCACTGGGTGTTATACGCGAACAATGAATCATGGAACACTACATCAAGAACTAATGATGTAATGTATGGTGATTAACATAACATAATAATAAAAAAATTTTTTTAAATAAAAGAATAGCAGTATTTGTAATTAGGATAAGTGAAATAAGGGGGAAAGCCCTGGACCCTTGGAAGAATAGGGTGGTTTAAATTCATACCTATAATTATTATATTTTTCTATTCTGTATTATTTAGAAAACAGTGGTTAAACAGATAAAAATAGAAAAGATTGCTTAAAAATTAAAGCCATTGATTTATCTCTATTTGAAAGGTCAGCGTGTGGGAGATGAGAAAGGCATACAGTGATCAGTGTTCAAGAAAAGACATTTTAGCAGCAGAACCTACAAAGAGCACATCAACTATTTATATCACCCACATCAAGTTGCTGGTCATTTCATTTATCAAAGAAAATAAGAAAGCTATTTTCTTTGGACATTCTTTGGGTGTAGTGACAATACAGTTTTGGAATCAGCTGTTAGAAACTATAATTAAAGCTGGTTTATCATGTTTACCAATTATTCTGCATAGAATTCTGCATTATTCTGCATTAGTCTCCCTGAAGCTTTATATAATTCTGTCTTTGTTACAAGCTTCTGTTTCTCCCTAGGGCAGTCTGAATCCAGACAGGTAAAGAATTGGAGTGCCTGGAAACCAATATTTTGTAATATGTGTACAGTCGGTTGAACTTGAAAACAATATACCGATTTTAAACTTCCTGTACATTCGATAGAGTCAGCCATTTAGAGGTTTCAGCCCTACCACTTGGGTAAGGAGATCCCTTGGGTACAAGGAAGAAGGAAAACAAAAATGGAAAACAAATTTCCTTCAGGAACCTATTTAACACTGGGGAGGGGAGGAGGTTTTTTATTCAGTAATTCCTAATAACTACCTGATAGTACTGTCTGGTTGGCCAAACGTCTGTCAACATCGGTGATCTTTCGTTCACTGCTAGAGAGAAGCAGAGGGAGCTCGTGTTCAGAGAAGCAGCAAAACTCATGTCCCATTTTCTTCCCTCTGCCAATGGAAGTGCTGTGGGCCAATCTCCCGTTCCAGCCCTTTAGTGTGGGTGGTGCGCGCCCTTTCTGCTCCCCAAGAACTCTGTGCCATGGGAGTGGAAAAGCATCCTGTCTCCTCATGAACCCATTTCCTTCCCAGGAAGTGGATTTCAGAATAGGGTAGGCTCTGTTGGGGGGGGGGGCGGGGAGAGTAGGGCAGTGCTAATAGCAAGGACTCTGGAGACAAGATCAGCAACCTGAGAAACAAAGGTGGGGACGTTTTACCCCTCCCCAATCTACCTCCCTTCATTTAACTTCCTCTTCATTTACCCTTTCCCCACTAAGCAATATTTGCTACTCAATGGAACACCGCTCAGTTTCTTACCATGAAGTCCAGTGGAACACCTACAAATCAGGGACTCCTTATCATTGGTTTTTTAAAAATAAAGAAATCTCAGGCTTGCCCTAGGCTGTGTGGATAGGATTTTCAATTTTGGAAACCAAATGGAGGCCTTTCTCCTACTCTTTCCAGATTGTCCCCCCCACCTCATTTCATTTTCCACTTGTGGCCTCTACCTCCCACAGGCTGACCAGGACCATGCACAAAAACAGCCTCCAATGAATAGCAACACTGAAGATTCAGCAGGTTGCTAACTCCTGCAGGCCTATCTTAAAAAGGATGTCGTATACAAATGCAAAGTGTTATGGAGCCTGGGAGATCTCTAAGAACACTGTAAATATCCCTGGTTTAATTAGTAGTGGTGGAATTAGGTAATGGCCTGTGGCTTCTAAGCAAGCCCTCTTGGGGTTTCTAGTCTTCAAGGGGCTGCCTGCAACCATGATGTGCCCATACACAGTCTTCTTTTTCAGACACCGAATAAATCCTTTTAGACCTTCCTAGGCACCTACTCACAATTACTGCAATACACAGGCAAATTGATCCCATTCTCCCAGATCTAAAAAAAAAAAAAAAGAAAGAAAGAAAGGAAAGAAAGAAAGAAAAGAAAAAGAAAAAATGAATCAGTGCCTCAGCCCAGGTCTCAACTCCGATTCTTGGGACTCCAATTGTCTCCTTGAGTTCTACTTTCCAGGGGGAAAGAAAAAGAAGAAATTCCTAGATTGGTGTTGATGGTGTTCATTCTCTTCAAGCAGAAAGTGGACAACTCGCTTTGCAGCTGATCAATGTCAGGGTAAATGCGCTCCAGTTCTCATAATTTCTGAACCAGCTCTCTCACAGGGATAGGTCAACCAATCGGGGCTGTTAGCCGACTTGACAGGTTTGCTCTGGGCTGATGGCCATTCACTAGGTTCTCCGACCCGGTAAGTCGCTTGGCTGAGTCTACAGTAGGTGGGGCGCGCTCACCAGCTCAGGGGTAGTGACTGGAAGTTTGTTGCAACACTGGTGGATTCAAGCAGCGCACTGCTGCTGCAGGAGATACCCTTTTGCCCCGGGTGTACAGAACCAGAAAGGTTCGCCCCAAGGGGCAGGGCACTAGCGAGGGAGATGCCAGACCCCCGGGGCCCTTTTCCTTCTCCCACGGTTGGGAACGCGCACTGTTGGCCGAGCCGGAGCTCCAAGTCTCACGTCTTGGCCGCTTCGCTGGCTCGGTAGGTAGCACGCGAACGGGTAGGAGCCGCTTGGGAGCTCTGCCTCCGAGGTCCGCGAGAAGCCGCCGCCGCGGCCAGCGGTGCCGGGAGGCGGGGGCACGTGCTTGAATGTGGGTGCTTGTGTAACCAGCTCCCCAGGCGCCAGCACCGACAGCGCTCGGGCCGGAGGCTCGTCGGAGCCTGTTTTTCCGCCGCGACCCGGAGGCTCGGGGTCCCGTTGCCGGCACACGGCAGCGGCACCCCGGGCGGAGGACGCGAAGCACTTGCCTCCCGAGCCATCATAGGGGAGTGGGAATTTGGAAAGTTCCCCAACTAGGAACACACGTGACCTCCTCCTGAAAGTAGTTCCGACTGTGGCCCGCGTATCCCTCCACCGCCTTTTGAACCCTCCTCGGTCTCCCCGGCCCCGCCCCCTCGCAGGGGCTGCCGCTTCCTACCGTCCCGTATTTCACAGTCGGGCCCGGGCAGCGCCGGCCGCCGGCGTGCGCCGCCCGGCACGGGGAGCGCGAAAGCCGGCCCGCGGCGATCCACCCGGCCGGGTTTTCACAGCGGCCCGAAAAGGGGCGGGGCGAGGCAGCCTCCGAGCCCCGAGTCTGAGTCCGACGCGGTGAACCGAGCTGGAGCCCCGAGGGGAGGGATGCTCAGCTCTCCAGGGGGAAATGCAGGGGGCTGCGGGGTGGGTCCCGTCCTCTGGGGTCCGCTCTCGGTGCGACGCGGGCAGTGGTCCTTGGGGACTTTAGACCTCCAGGGACGATGTGCTCACACGCAGCGCGCTCGGCTGCGAGCTCTCATTTTTAGGGCGAAGGAGCCGGGCTGCTGGGGAAGCGGGAGGTGGGGCGGTGAGAGGGAGCCGGATGAGGTGATACACACACGGAGACACAATAGGGGGTTGTTCTTTGTGCTAAGACTGACACCTTGAGGACACGGGCGGGGGGTGGACAGAGAGGTAGGCTTTCTTGGCAAAGGCGGCTGCAGGCGAGTCCCTGCGAACGACAGGGATATCACAGCGGTGCAAAAGGAGGACGAGGCTGCGGGCCGGGCCGGGGAAATCTGGGGGCGGAGGGGGGAGGGGCGCCCTCGCGGCGGGGACCGTCCCCGCGTTTCCCTGTCCCCCGACCCGCGCGAGTCACCTGGTGCTCCCCACCTGTGCACAGGTAACCTCAGACTCGAGTCAGCGACACCGCTCAGTGCACCCCTCAGCTCTCCCCTTCGGCCCTCCTTGTCCCCGACCGGGTTTCTGGGCACAGGCCGAGACTTGGCTTGTTCTCCCCCCTTTCCACTCCCGCACCCCCCCCCTCCCCGCCCCGGCCCCGCGCTGCTGCAGAAGCGGCCGCGGCAAGTGCAGCTCCTGGCGGGCGCCTCGCACAAGCCCGAGCGAGCCCCGGGCGCTCGCACTGGGCATGCTCAGTGGCGCCCGCCGGCCCGGGGCTCGGCGCTCGCCCCCGGAGCTGCCGCCCCTGCCCCGCCGCGTCCCTCCCTCCCCCGGCGCGGTCTCGCCCGCCTCCCGCCTCCCCTCGGGCTCCCAGGCGCCGGGCTCCCGGCGCGGCAGCGGCGGCGGCGGCGGCGGCGGCGGCGGAGGGGGCGGGCGGGCCGGCGGGCGGTGATGTGGCGGGACTCTTTGTGCACTGCGGCAGGATACGCGCCGGGGCGCCGAGCCGCGGCTGCGCTCGGCTCTCTCCTCTCGGAAGCTGCAGCCATGATGGAAGTTTGAGAGTTGAGCCGCTGTGAGGCGAGGCCGGGCTCAGGCGAGGGAGATGAGAGACGGCGGCGGCCGCGGCCCAGAGCCCCTCTCAGCGCCCGTGAGCAGCCGCGGGGGCAGCGCCCTCGGGGAGCCGGCCGGCCGGCGGCGGCGGCAGCGGCGGCGTCTCTCGCCTCGTCCTCGTCCTCTCTTCTAACCGTGCAGCCTCTCGCTCGGCTTCTCGTGCAAGGGACGGTGGAAGCCGCGGGCCCGGGCGGGAGCCGGCTGAGGCGCGGCGGCGGCGGCGGCGGCGGCGGCGGCGGCGGCGGCACCTCCCGCTCCTGGAGCGGGGGGGAGAAGCGGCGGCGGCGGCGGCGGCCGCGGCGGCTGCAGCTCCGGGGAGGGGGCCGGAGTCGCCTGTCACCATTTCCAGGGCTGGGGCCGCCGGAGAGTTGGTCTCTCCCCTCCTACTGCCTCCAACACGGCGGCGGCGGCGGCGGCACGTCCAGGGACCCGGGCCGGCTGTAAACCTCCCCTCCGCCGCCGCCGCACCCCCCCCGGCCCGGGCTCCGGAGGCCGCCGGCGCAGGCAGCGGCCGTGCCGAGGATTCTCCGTCTCCTTCCCGTCCCGCGGCCGCCGCGGCCAGGCCTCTGGCTGCTGAGGAGAAGCAGGCCCAGTCGCTGCAACCATCCAGCAGCCGCCGCAGCAGCCATTACCCGGCTGCGGTCCAGAGCCAGGCGGCGGCAGAGCGAGGGGCATCCGCTACCGCCAAGTCCAGAGCCATTTCCATCCTGCAGAAGAAGCCCCGCCACCAGCCGCTTCTGCCATCTCTCTCCTCCTTTTTCTTCAGCCACAGGCTCCCAGACATGACAGCCATCATCAAAGAGATCGTTAGCAGAAACAAAAGGAGATATCAAGAGGATGGATTCGACTTAGACTTGACCTGTATCCATTTCTGCCGCTGCCCCTCTGTGCCTTTCTGTCACTCTCTCTTAGAACGTGGGAGCTCACGGAGGCGAGAAATTGCCATAGTTTGGGTGACTGTAGCAGCCAACCCGGCTCGAATTTCTAGATCGTGTCTATTTGGGGTCTCCCTTGAATGCATCCAGCCTAGGGTGTGTTCGGCTACATGGAACTCTTGCCTGCTTGCAAGTGTCAAGGCACCGATGGGTTTCTCGGGTCTGTCGACGGGGTCTCTTCCGAAGGGCTATTGTCCGTTAATACAGAATACAGTACACTGTTGGTGGATTAGTGAGCTCGGTAATCCGGTCTGCTATATGAACAGAAAAGGAGACGCTTTGAGGTTGAGCATATTTCGATTAAATCTTGGCTTTAGGCCCTAGATCAAGGGTATAGATTAGATTAAAATGAAAATTAGTGTTGCACGTATGCATATTGCATCAGAATCTTGCAGTGATTGTTTTTAGTTTCCTGGGTTGCATTGGTAGACTTTTTTTTTTTTAATGTGACTTGTGAACTGATTTGCATAACTTTGGAAGCAGAATCATTTTCAGCATATATGGTGTTCATTGGAGGGCAAAAGGAGGTTTGTGTATTTAAGCTAAGTTTAATTACAACTTGGAACTGCCTTTAGAAGTTTTGTAGTTTGAAATCAATAGTGTCATAGGTAATACACCTCCTAAGGCGCTCTTACTAGATCTTCGTTAAATTCGCCTTTTTTTTTCCCCCTCCTGATGGGGTGATATAGGATAGGGCATGAAATTTGTAGCGCAGTAGCATTTTATATTCAGTGGTCTTGTCACACGTAATAGAATGGAGATTGAGTGTTTTTTGATCCCAGATGATAATGTTGTGTAGGTTCTAAGGGTATTGTGTGCCGCAAATTGTGATTGCAGAGATTAAGCTTCAGTTCTTCCTTGAAATTTAAGTGTTACTGTGATGCCGGAATTGCTGCTCACCTAATTCAAGTTGCAGGTCCTCTGACACCTTTGGGGCTCCATTAATTGTACTCTGGCTTGTGTATAATGGCAAGTGTAATATACCAGCTCATAACCAGAATGGCCTGCAAGAGGGGATTACTCCAGCCTCAGATTGTGTAGGTATGTTAGCTGTTTTTCACCCAGTGTCTTAAGTTTACTGACTCAGGTGGCTGAATAAGACAGAAACCCAAGAATTGTAACAAGCATGTCGTTTTGGTTGTCCAAAAGTTAGTTCTTTGTACCTCAAAAGATAGTGGTTATTGAAAGGCATTGATCTTTGCAGTTTCAGGTATAACGAACTGGTTTTGATCAAGGATGGGCATAGAGCCCTCCTGGTTTGCAGAATGGGAAGTATCACAGACGTTCAGAGTTCCTCGCAGGCCAGTGTCTAAGGCATGAAAAAACAGAATTAAGTCGTTGGTCTCAGGTGCCTGAAGTATCTTATTAAGGCTGCTGTTAAGACCAAAATTTTGGTGATGTGAATTATAACGCTGGACAATATTTAGGTAAAATTATGTAATTGCATAATAAGAGTATTCTTAATAAAAATTATGTCTTAGCAAATGTCAGTGAACATTTTGCCTAAAGGTTGAGTGGTGCTAAAGTCTCCATATGTCCTGCTAAAAACTGTGGGGAAGATTTGTTTTTTGAAGAAAATGTTTTATAGCTGAAGAGGTTTTATTCCTTTGGATTATATAGCTGCACGTAAATGCGCACAACTAATTTTGCCCAAGTGTTTGTTTTGAGATGAAGGTAAAAGTTACTGAAGAAGGAGCTTTATAACACACAAAACGTAAGTTTTCTGTTAAGTGAAAGGATTAATATTTTAAAAGAATATTTAGAAGTTCTGGAGTCTGCATTAATTGCAAAACTAGTCAGGACTGAACTTGACCTGCTTGCCTAGAAGGTAATTAATTATGGAAAAACTTCTGATTTGTAATTTCTTTCAAAAGCAGTCTGCTGTTGGTGTGAACTGACATGTATAAGAGCAAATTGATTAAATGTTTCTTTAACTTTTTAAGAAAAGTCCCCATGCAGGAAAATGTCTATAATGCTGTTTGGTAGATTGCTTTTATTATTCAGACTGCGTTTATACTATTTTTACTTTACCCATTTGCTTTAAAATTTAGCAGGGTTTTAAGTTTAAAATTATTCTACCAGGTTCTTTCACGTGAGTAGTGAGATGATTGCCAGTTCTCCTTTGATTTCAGAGGTGTGCCTCCATACGTGAAATTTATGTGACTTAAAACTTTCTCTAACACTGTGCTTTTAGTTATGGTATGCATAGAAAGCAGCATCAAATATTGTATCAAATGACTAGTAACACTTAATTTCTAGAGTTGTGGTTTTATTGAGCCAAATACTGATATAAAAAAAATCACTTAGGAAAGAGTCAGTGAAGGGTTCTTTTTTGATAGTTGCACTTCCAATAATTTTGATACACCAAAGCACTTTGGTTTACTTGGTTTCACTTTAGTGTTCTGTGTTTATTGTGGGGGGGAAATTAAAATGGCCATTGAAGATTTTGTCTCTGGCAGGTTGTAGTATCTGTTTCAGCAGCTAGCCTGTGAGAAGTTAAATTCCTTTATGAAAGTAGTAATTGGAGTATTTCTGTGTGATAAGAAAGATTAAGAATGTAGTGATTTCTCAGAGGAAAATTGAGGATGATTATTTGCAAATTTTGCAATATTATTTGCAAAATTGAGTTCTAAAAATAATTTCTTGGTATCTTATTATTGGTCTGGAAAGTAGTGTTGACCGTGAGACTATAAAAAATTTAGTGTCTTTAGATTTCATGGAAACTTTAGGCTTTGGTTGTATTTTTATTTTTTGATAAGTTTGCGTCTTTTCAAATGTTAACTGTAGGGAGTATTTTTAACTTGTAGAGGGTACAGGGACTGTTGAAGTTAATTGTATTACCTTTTAAGATTAGTGATTACTGAAATGACCATATCTTGAGAGGTGTGTGTATGTGTGTGTGTGTTTTGTTTTGTTTTGTTTTGTTTTTAAAGACACTGTTCAGAATTTTTATTTTACCCTGTTTCATATCTGCTAAGTTGCATTTCTTTTCTGAACAACATAACCGGGCATCCTAATTGCTGTATAACAGTTTACAAACTTCATTTTCATAAAGGTCATTCAAGAATAAAGTGCATCTGAAAGGAGAATAATTTACAGTTTATCTGACTTAATATAAGGAAAAAGGGATTTTATTGCAGTGCATTGTAAAAGTTTGCCCAGTAGTGCAGCCATCTGCGGATTTACATCGCATATCCTGCACTAAGTGAATATTAGATGAATAAACATCCTAAAATATGGTGACTTATAATCACCTTACTTTAACATTTATTTTTAGAAACTGTAGAAAGAAAGATGCATTGGTGTCCCTTTTAGAATTTTAATGACATGAGAAAGGCAGCTATCGATGTTTTAGTGTTTGTGTGGAACAGATCTGTTTTTTCCTAATAACCACTTAAATAAAACACACAAACTTCTTAATGTTAATTCTTATTTTCACATGTTCTCATTTTGAGATTTGCCCCATTTGCTGTTTGTTCGTTTGGTGATAGCTTAATACTTTTTAATATTTTTTAAGCCACTTAAGTAATTACTTCAGTAACTTTCAATGGAGGAATACTTAATGGGAAAATCAATGCACAAAGTTTCAACGTTAATTCACTCTCAGTAAACATTTTACTTTTAAATTTTGACCTCAGCCTTTTTCAGTAAGACAAATGTTTTTATATTAAAACAGTATATGTGAAATGGAGTTTGTAGAGAGAAATTTAGACCTGTGCATGCACGTGATAGTTTTTCACTTACTTGAAGTGTTTGGCCTTGGTCGTGGTCCAAGGACTTAGCTCCCAGAAGCTGTGTTATTAATGATTGTATGAAACATTTATTTGATACCATATTTTTTTTTCCTGTAGAGACCATGAGTTCTGAAGTTTTATTTTTATTTTGAGGAGCCCTCGCTCTTCCACGCCTTTTTTTGTTAGATAAACTTTGATTTTTAAGTGAAGTCAGTTTTGGAGAATTCTTTTGTGACCTGAATTCATTAAGAAAATGTGTTAGAATTTGTTCTGAGGATAGTGACTTAAGACCTTTGTACCAACTTCTGAGGTAGGGGTCAGTAATGATTTCAGTAAATATTCAGTTCTGTTTTACAGTTGCTTTCTGTCTGGTAGCTTTGAAATTCATGCATTTGCTATCAGAGGTGTCAGTTATGTTGAGGTTAGACTGCATAACCTGAAGTTGGTAAGGATTTGCTGAGTGAAATGATATCCTTAATTGTTTTATAAAGGCCACTTACTGCCACATGCATTCTTTGCTAGGTGGTCAAAAGTGTTCCGGTCTGTCAATAGTGATTGTCTTTCTAAGCATTGGATAAATGCACCTACTGATGTAAAATACTTGCATTTGTCAGGAAAGGTGACTCTTCACCTATCTTCTAAGTTTTTGAATTTTTTTATTGGTTACAGAAAAAGGTATTAGCAATTTGGTTCTTTTAAGGTAATTTGCACTGAAATAAAGCCTTTTGGAAAAATACTAATATAAGAAGAATAAACATTATTTAGGTGTGAATTAATTTAGAGGGGAAGTTTTAGTTCAGTTCAGCGTAGTTAAGGCATATTCTGTTCATTTGCAGCAGTTTGCATTAAGAGGCAGGTGGACATCTTCAGGGTGTTAGGTATACACTTGGTTGTACTGAGAATATTGAGAGATGGATACTGTGGCTGCAACTGACAGCAAAAGAATATTCTTACCCTGTACGTAGTGTGGACAAGAAGACCGTTGACGTATTATATTTTAGGTGGTTATGCACTTTAATTGTCATCCATAGTCGTCACTTCAGATATGGACAGTGAATCTAACATAGTGTGTGAATATTCTGTGTATATGTGTAAATAAGTGCAAAGTTAGCAAACTGTCATAATTCTTTTTTTTAAGATTTTATTTATTTATTTGACAGAGAGATAGCAAGAGCAGGCACACAAGCAGGGG